GATAGATAGAGTAAGAGAGATCGATGGATAGATAGATGAGAGCGAGAGATATAGATCGATAGATAGATAGATAGATAGATAGATAGATAGATAGATAGATAGATAGATAGATAGATAGATAGATAGACAGCCGCTTGTAATCTCCATTTGAAGGGCATGTGGCTGAGTAACAACGTAATTGAACAATTAGGACACAAGGACAGGGCGTTGTCACCCTATAACAGGAAGAGTGTCGGCATCTTCAGTCATTGGTAAACGCGTCGTCGATGATGGGTTTTTGGGTGTAAGTGTTTTTTTTAGGCAGACAGCCGCTGTAAAAAAAAACAACCCAAAAAACAGATAGGGCACCTCCCTGAAATGAGATGGGAACCTCCCTGAAATAAGGTTTTGCAGGTTGGGATGTCTGCAATGGAACGCTGGTTACTAGTAGCAGGAAATGATTCTTAGGCAGGAAAACACACACAAAAAGGCGCGTTGTGCAAGTTTTCCAGAGCGTTGCTTCTGGAAACGCGCAACAAATCGTTCAGGTGGAACTGGACACTCAGTGACACATTTTTCCATTGTTATGCACAAAAAGGATACTTTGTATTTATGTTTAATAGATTTCCTCGAAGGTTTAAACCTCGGATAAGCTGTAATGAATGTAGAGAGAGAGCCGGGGAGGAAGCGGAGGGGTCTCTATCGATATATCGGGAGGGGGGCCCAGAGGAGAAGTAGTCACCAGTTGGCCAGATGCTGCACAAAGGCTCCCAGGAGAGACGGGACAAAGGGGCCGGAGAGGGATTAATCTGGCTCTGAATAGGAAAAGGGGAGAAAGTGAGAAGGGGCAATGCAAGAGAATGACAATACAAAACAAACAGAGAGAGGAGGGAGAGGAGAGGAGGAGGGGAGGACAGGTCTGTCACTGCTGCTCCTATCTGTCCCTTATTAGTAGTAACCAGCCAGGGTCAGCAGCTCTATAGCATCCCACATCCCCTCCCCGCTCAGCTGCAGGACCCCCTGCCCATTATCATGGAGATTTTATGCACAGACTGTGACAGCCTGCAGGAAACAGCCACTGAATAGCTGTGATAATTACACACACCTGCAGGATGGACCCACGGCCAGTCCTCCCATTGTCCCTGCAACTGGGATGGGGAGTGAAACCAGTTAAAGTCCCCAAAATGTGGACATAAAATTTTTTGTGATATCTGCAATTTCGAAAGATGATTTTCCGACTGCTTCACATAATCTATCTATCTATCTATCTATCTATCTATCTATCTATCTATCTATCTATCTATCGATCTATCTATCTATCGATCTATCTATCTATAAGATAGATAGTTCGACAGATAGAGCGAGAGAGAGCGAGAAGGAGGGAGAGAGGAAAGATCGAGAGAGAGAGAGATTAGAGAGAGAGATAGAGATTAGAGAGAGAGAGAATACATGGATAGATAGATAGATAGAGGCGAGAGAGATAGAGAAAGAGAGAGCCATAGAGAAAGAGGGAGTGAGAGAGAGAGAGAGAGAATACATGGATAGATAGATAGATAGATAGATAGATAGATAGATAGATAGATAAGAGAGATTAGAGAGAGAGATAGAGATTAGAGAGAGAGAGAATACATGGATAGATAGATAGATAGAGGCGAGAGAGATAGAGAAAGAGAGAGCCATAGAGAAAGAGGGAGTGAGAGAGAGAGAGAGAGAATACATGGATAGATAGATAGATAGATAGATAGATAGATAGATAGATAGATAGATAGATAGATAGATAGATAGATAGATGGAAAGAGCCAGAGAGTGATATATTGAGAGAGAGAGAGAGAGAGAGAGAGAAAGAGAGAGATTGTCCTCTCATCAGATACCTAAATATCTATGAACCACATACCATGTGTTCAGTGAATTTAATTTCTGTCCTGCCCTTGTAAATTGAACTGGTAAAGAAGTCCTTAACCATTATAATTAAATGATAGATAGATAGATAGATAGATAGATAGATAGATAGATAGATAGATAGATAGATAGATAGATAGATAGATAGATATAGATAGATAATGGATGGATATCTGGTGCTCTTTGTTCAATGGAATGTAGCCCGGGTCGGGGTTGGGTGTCAGGAGAGGTCATACCCCCCATGCAGTGCTAATTGCTGCTGACACTAATAGGGGGGAGGAGGGGAGGGGGGGGTATGAGCAGGGTGTTAAGTGATTATGTGAATGCCGCCTCCAGCTAGGCGTAAAATGAGCAATTCACGCTGAATCAGTGTGTGTGGCTGAGACATCATTACTCAGCCTGTCCCCCCCCCCCGGTGACAATAGCTTGCTGCTCACTCAGGGATCCCCATTCCATTATAGCCGGACAATGTATCCCCAGTGTACCAGTTTATCTCTCAAACACTCTATTGTACTCTACAGACTCTCCTGGAACTTTTCTCATGCAGTACAGCCGCCCTCTCCTCCTGGATACTCTGCGGACTGACTGTCACAGAGCACAATAGAAGCAGCATGGCATAAACCTGCGTTCCCACCAAGTGTGCAGCAAATCAGTATTTTAGGGTCTCCAGCAGAGAAGACATTAATGCCGATTCTCCTCGTGTTCCTATGTCAACTGCAATTACATGAAGAGTACACTATATTGCCAAAAGTATTGGGACACCCCTCCAAATCAATGGATTCAGGTGTTACGTATTCCGCGGTCACCTGTTAGTGGGATTATAACAAAGTGGAAGCAACTGGGAACAACAGCAACTCAGCCAGAAAGTGGTAGGCCACGTAAAATAACAGAGCAGGGTCAGCTCATGCTGAAGCGCACAGGGTACAGAAGGTGCCAACTGTCTGCAGAGTCAATAGCTACAGACCTCCTGGCCTTCAGATAGGCACAACAACAGTGCATAGAGATCTTCATGGAATGGGTTTCCATGGCCGAGCAGCTGCATCCAAGCCTTACATCACCAAGTGCAATGCAAAGCGTGGGATGCCGTGGTGTAAAGCACGCCGCCACTGGACTCTAGAGAAGTGGAGACGTGTTCTCTGGAGTGACCAATCACGCTTCTCTGTCTGGCAATCCGATGGATGTGTCTGGGTTTGGCTGTTGCCAGGAGAATGGTACTTGCCTGACTGCATTGTGCCAAGTGTAAAGTTTGGTAGAGGGGGGATTATGGTGTGGGGTTGTTTCTCATGGGTTGGGCTTGGCCCCTTAGCTCCAGTGAAGGGAACTCTTAAGGCATCAGCATACCAAGACATTTTGGACAATTTCATGCTACAACTTTATGGGAGGAGTTTGGGGATGGCCCCTTCCTGTTCCAACATGACTGCGCAACGGTGCACAAATCAAGGTCCATAAAGACGTGGATGAGCGAGTTTGGGGTGGAGGAACCTGACTGGTCTGCACAGAGTCCTGACCTAAACCCGATAGAACACCTTTGGGATGAATTCGAGCGGAGACTGCGAGCCCAGCCTTCTCGTCCAACATCAGTACCTGACCTCACAAATGGTCTAACATTCCCATAGACACACTCCTAAACCTTGTGGACGCCTTCCCAGAAGAGTTGAAGCTGTTAAAGTGGCAAAGGGCGTGCCGACTCAATACTGAACCCTACAGACTAAGACTGGGATGCCATTAAAGTTCATGTGCGTGTAAAGGCCGGTGTCCTAATACTTTTGGCAATATAGTGTACACATATACATATAAGCAATCAGTGCCAACGCTCCTTTTTCAGCAGTATGTTGGGTAACTGTCGTATTGTGACTACTCATTGGGTTTTTTGAAACAGGATAAAGACACAGGGAACACTGACCTTACTTCCCATACAGGAAATTCAAAATAAGGCCAATTTAATCAATGACCAATAAGTCAACCAGTATGGGTTGGAAGAGCAAACTGAAGCAAGCCCAGACATGGGGTAGAAACATTTGACTGATGGATTCGTCGATTACGTCCCTCCGTTAAAAAAAAACCCCCAATAAACACACAGACTGCGCGACATGGATTTAAATGGCCACAGCAGCCCTTTTATAAACCAAACCAACTTTAACAATATCCAAAGTAAAAAACAAAATAATATACAAATAAATAATGTTAACTACTGTTTGATCTAAGAAGGGGTCTTTGGGTGCCCAACAGCCCAAATAAGGCCTCTTCTAAAAACTGCTCCCATGTCCCCAGCCGCATTCCAACCAGCTCGAGGACAGTTAATACTCCCAAGTTCCAAGGGGCAGGCCCCCCTACAAATACTGACACCAACAGGGGGAAGCACCATACCAGCTGATGACTCCCCCTTTGTGTAACTGACTCAGAGTTTCAGACCCCCCAAAGACCCCCTAACAGGCCCAGCTGCCGTGACATAAAAACGACATTGTAACCACCAACAAACACAAAAAAGGAAGGGGGGGGGGACAACCTGCTTCCTCCGTCGACTTTCCAGAAAGAATGCCCCTCAGCCCTTGCAGTCCCAACCCATGCGGCTCCTTCCTAACACCTAAATCCAATGTCCAATCAGGTAAGATCAGCTAATTCCCATTTTATTTGAACCCCTTCTCAGGGGCTATTCCTCCCCCCAGTCATGCAGACCCTCCATTCAGTCTCTCTGGGTGTGCAAAATTGACTATTAAAAGGCAAATAAAATAGGATGTTGGAAGAAGAGCTGCAAAAAAAAAAAAAATGAGGTAGCATCAAAAGCAGTACTGCACTGTGACAATCATTGGGCACCATGTTGTAAAATGTACACAGGAGTTTTGGAGAGCATTCAAAAGCAGGCAACTGAATGAATTAAAGGAATGGAAACATTGAATACGATTTTGTATGTTAAAGTGTATCTAAATCCAAGCACAAGAACATGTAATATATGGCAGCTTTCTTGTCCTGAGATATGGTGGCTGCATTAGTTCATTTGTTTTCTTTCTTTGACGCTTTTTGTCATCTGGTGATCCTGGGTTTTTTTTTTCTTTCTAAATCAGAACCTTGTGGTTACCTCTTTGACTGCCCATCCCCTTATATCTTCCTCTTATGTGTTACAGATAAGAAAACTTCTCTCTCTGGACCTCTGGTTTGTCCATTGTGTCACAAACACCTACAAAAAGAGGAACTCCCTCATCATCTTCACCATGAAATGGAGCTAATGGCTCATGTGCCAGAAAGGTAATACATACAATGATCACCCTTTGCTACAACTAGAACTGATACTAAAGCGCCTGATGAACAGATAATGTTAAACTTGCCCTGTCTGCTAGTCTGACTCTTTCACGTCACAAACTGGCTCACCTGGCCAATCAATAGTATAAAGACAGCATGAAAGCTTGATAGGAATAATATTCCTGTCTGCCAGGCACCACACAGGCTGACTCTCCTGTCTGATAGGTAGCACCCAGGCTGACTCTCCTGTCTGATAGGCACCACACAGGCTGACTCTCCTGTCTGATAGGCAGGACACAAGTTGACTTTCCTGGGCTGCCTCTCCAGTCTGGCAGGTAAGGCAGAGTAACTTACCTGCCAGTAACACAGTGGGCGTTATCTGTCAGGCAGAAGAATCATTCTGTGTTATGTCAGCCAGGAGACTTAGTCTGGGTTACCTGATAGCCAAGAGAAAATGTTTTGGTTACCTTTTAGCAAAGAAAGTCATTATGGGTTGCCTAGTTACATAGTTATTCAGGTTGAAAAAGCCTATCAGCCAAGAGAGCCAGTCTGGGTTACCTGCCAGTCAGAAGAGTCAGTCTGGGTTACCTGCCAGTCAGAAGAGTCAGTCTGGGTTACCTGCCAGCCAGGAGACTCTGTCTATGTTACCTGACAGCCAAGAGAGTCAGTCTAGGTTACCTGCCAGCCAAGAGAATCAGTCAGGGTTACCAGCCAGCCAAGAGAGTCAGTCTGAGTTACCTGCCAGCAAAGAAAGTCAGTATGGATTACCTGCCAACCAAGAGAGTCAGTCTGGGTTACCTGCCAGCCAAGAGAGTCAGTCTACATTATCTGCCAGCCAAGACAGTCAGTCTGGGTTGCCTGCCAGCCAGCCAAGAGATTCAGTCTGAGTTGCCTGCCAGCCAAGAGAGTCAGTCGTGTTTACCTGCCAGCCAAGACAGTCACTCTAGGTTATCTGCCAGCCAAAGAGTCACTCTGGGCTACCTGCCAGCCAAAAGAGTCACTCTGGGCTACCTGTCAGTAAAGAGGTGTGTGTGGGGGGGGGGCTGCCAGATTCACTTGTCAGTCAGGAGAGACAGTTTTAGTCACTGGTCCGCGGAGTCCATCTCTGTACAGGAAGGAAAGCCAGCCTGTTTTATCCATCAGTCAGAAGAATCTCAATGTTATCTGTCAGAGATCAGGGTCCATTTCACTCACAGACTGACTTTCCTGTCTGACAGATAACAGACCGGCTCTCCTTACTGACGCATAATACACAAAGTGACTCAGAATTTACCAACTGTGATGACTTACAGGAAATTAGACAAGTATATATCTTCATGACAATCAAAGCTATGCAATTCCCTGTCTTCTGAGCAAAGCACAAGAACTGAAAGTAAAAGACAATTCCTGTTTTCAATACCTGTGCTTCAGTGAAAATAGTTAACAATTAAGATGAGTGCTGAGCTTTTTATTCATCTCTAAAGTTACAAAACAAAATAAACTTTCAAAAATGTTCTTTGTGACGTTGTGCTGTGTTTTTGCTGAGTGTTTTCGTTTTTACTGCTTTGATGTTTAATTGGTTTTACATGGAGTAAAAAAAGCGCCACCTAGGGGTGAGAAAGGTTGGTACAACCTTATACCATGCATGCTGTTCAAGTGTATGGAAATGCTAGCATTAAACTTATCTTATTTGCTCCCTTTTGGTCCGTTTAATGTGAAAATATGACAATAAAGGTGTCTTGTTATTCTTGTTATTCTTGTTAAAAAAGTAAAACATAAAACATCAGTCGATCCGTCAGAAAACCAGTGAGCTGATTGCTTCCTTGTCTCCCTCTCTGCTGACTGTTATCAGTTAGCACCCAGTTCTCGAGCACCTCACCCTTGTTATGAGGATGAGGAAAGGGGGCAATGTTCTGTAGTCTTAAAACACTTCCTGCCCGAGGGTGACAACGCTGTACAGACTTAAAGGAGAACTATGGGGTAAGTGTTTTTCCCCATAGTTCTTCTAAGGGTCATGGGAGGACACAAAATAGCGTCCTCTCGTGACCCAAAGCTCAGTATATTGCAAGCTACAGCTCGCGGTATACTGAGACCACCGCAGCCGGGACGGATCCCAACATTACTGTCGAGATCCACCCAGCTGCGTGATTGATAGCTGGCTCTGCCTATCTAGAGGCTGAGCCAGCTGTACCCGCCCCCTCCCCCGTCCGTTCCGCCAGTTAGCGCTGGAGGATCGGAGAGGGGAGGGGAGAATCCCTGCAGGGAGTCGTGAGTGACAGTCATGGCTCTCTGCGGGGAGATGATTGAGAAGTGAGCGAGCGACGGTATGTGTTCGCTCACTTCCCGATCTATTGAGCCGACGTGTGACAGTTTAATTGTCACACGTCGGCTGGAACTATGAGGTTGAGTGAAAATGACCCACCTCATAGTTCTCCTTTAGGCCTTGTTCACACTAAATGCAGAGCAGATCTGCATGAGTTTCTGCACACGCTGTGCAGTGGGTTGTGCCGCGTTTTTGCCGTGTTCCGCGCCGTTTTTGGTTTTTAGTTTAAAATGGGCTTTCAGTGTGTTCCAGGCGTTTGCATGCGTTCCAGAGTAGGTAAAATAGGGCCTGCTGCAGTTTTTTTAACCTGCTTTGGACCTGCTCTGGAACTGAACGCTGCAATGTGAACTGGAGCTACGTCAAAATTCATACAATTAACACTGCTCATGCGCAAATGAAAATCGGTGACCTTAATTCCCGAAATTCGTCCAGGTGTTTTTTTTTAAATACCGATAATTGAACCTTGCGATGGTTGTGGCAGGATGGGGCCATCATACGAAAAACGTACGGCGGTTCGATCAACGTACGCAACATTCCGTCCGATGATCGCAAGGTGTATGTGAACCTTTAGAATCAGCATACCAAGGGGCTGATGTACAAAACTTCCGCTCAACGTATAGCTAGGCGAATAGCATGTGCATGGAAATACTGGCACTGGTTGGAGCCAAGGAGGATATCTGTGCTCCTCGGCTCCATGAAAAGGTAGTAATGTTGCATTTGCCCAGCTATATGGTGGATGGAAGTTTTACACCTAACCAAGAATTGTCGTCCAAGGTGAGGTGGTGTGATACCTGCAGGACTACCAGGTGAAAACAAATGGAACAAAAACCACAATAATTCAAACAAATGCAGCCACCTTAGGACTGGTAGACTTTAAAGGATTACCTTTTTGTTCTTGGCTTTTGATGCGTTTTAATTTCACGGTTTGCGTTATTGAATATTTTTTATTACTAGTATATAATATTAAGACAATGTATTCTTATTGTAAAATATTTCACCTGATTCCTATGTCTTTGCAGTGAGTCTGACAACATTCCAGAGTCCTCCCAGAATAATTCACAGGTGAGATGTATTCTGTAAAGTTAAATTACATGGAGAAGGAGAGAGA